AGTCTCTGTCTCAATAATGTTGCTGAACCAATCTCTCTCAATTTCAACATTCATAAGTTCGTTAAAGTATTTCCCCCAACTGTCACTTACCATCCTAAATTAATACCATCTGCATCATTTATTTTTTGGCCTGGTATACATCTTGTGAGTTGTTCCTGCTCTTTGCTATTCTTATTTCTTTATTAATACCCTCTGCACCTTTCTTTAGGCTGTTGTACAGGTCTTTGTATGCACGTTTTATTTTCTTTGCTATAGTTACTACCTTCTTCATTTGTTTATTAACCTCTTTGAGTTTATTCTGTAATTCTTAGTCCTGTCTATCTCTGTCCCTTGACTTCTTGCATTCTCTCTTTAAGTTAACAACTTCCAGGAATTCAAAACTCCACCACCATGCTTCCTTTCCTTCTTTTTTATTCCCCGATGTGTGGCCACTGTTCTATTTTTTTTTTGTGCTGTGTTCCAGTCTTTCACTTGTATAAATTGCCTCCTACTTTCTACTTCTTTCAGCTTCTACCACTTTGTTTTATTTATCCGTTTTTCTCTCACCTTTAGGTTAGTTTTCACTTTCACTTTTCATATCAATGGGTGCTGTTTTGCCACACTTTCCCTTGGCAGTGTTTTACAATGTATGACATTCCTTACTTGGTCTCTTTGGCATAGTATATAGTCGATCTGGGTTCTATTGTTTCCGCTACTATATGTGATAAGTTGATCTTTCTTTATGTAATAGGTGTTTATTATTACCAGTCTAAATGCTTGCGCCATCTTCACTATACGTGAACCCTCTTCATTTCATGTTCCATAGCCACGCTTTCCCGTACAGTTATAGTTCCAACATTAAGTGTTGCAACTGCCATCTGGCTTTCCTCATTTTCCTCCTGTCTCCGTCATCGTTGAGCTATCTTCTCCTAATATGGTACCCGCCTCTTTTTTTTACAGAACCATGGCGGTCGATCTGCACGTCGTTTTCGGACGCCCTAGCATTTGGGTTGTTACTTCCTTGGATCTGTTCTTGCTTGGCTGTTGTATTAAGGCCACATGCCCTTGCTGACGCCACCCTCCCCATATGTGTACACACACACACACACACACACACACATACACACACACACACACACACACACACACACACACACACACACACACACACACACACATATATATATATATGTATGTATATATATATATATATATATATATATATATATATATATAGTCGCATTAAAATGATAAGTTCATTATGCATAACCCTGCTGGAACTATTTATTTTATTTGCTTCTTTTTTGTATGACTTGAATTATAATATTTTGTGTACAATTAGATTTCTCTAAATTAAATTTGTATGTGGTACAATTTATCAATGATTTGTAATTTTTATACGAAATTGCTTTGTGCCTTGCGCATCTTTCTTTCTTTTTTTTTTGTACAATGTACTGATGTAGTAACCGCTCTGGACCTCGTGGAGACAATAACAGAATGTAGCGGAGGAAGGGTAAGCCTGACCCTTATTCTTTTCGGTGTTTAATTTGTATAATTGGACATACCAAACATGGAGACCTGGCATGAATTTATCAGTGTTGTGGAGTATTTCTGTTGACCATACAGGACTCTGGGCTTCCTCTGGAAGAGTCAGTAAAGTGAGTTATTTATCTTCTAATCGATAAAATCAAATTGGGAAAAATCAATGAACTATGTGTTAGAAAATGAAAATTTGAAATTATTCCTAATATACAAACATATCATGTGCGGATGCATAGGTTATTGTTTAAATTGAAATTATGTTAAGGAAATTGATATCTTAGCAGGATATTAATGAATTTATGCTAATGAAACTTATTATATTTCGTATTAAGGTGTTTGGGTAGAGGAAATTGTATATTCTATTAACTATCAATATAAAAGATCAGTGACAGCAACAGATTTATTATAAGCTAACGAATGAATAATGTATATTCTTACTGATTATATTATGGTTACTTACTGATTATATACAGGTTGAAACCTTGATGTAATAAATCATGTGCACACACACACACACACTCATATATATATATGAATGTATTTATGTATATTTATATATTACTTATCATATTTATAAATTTATATATATAATACCATAACACACACAAACGCAAACACACACGCACAAACACGCACACACACACGCACACACACACACACACATACACACACACACGCACACACACACACACACACACAAGCATACATATATATATATATATATATATATATATATATATATATATATATATATAATTACATATATATGCATATATATAAACATATATATACATAGATATATACATACATATATATATATATATATATATATATATATATATATATATATATATATATATATATGCACACACACACACACACATACACACACACACACATATATATATATATATATATATATATATATATATATATATATATACATATATATATATATATATATACATATATATATATATATATATATACACATGTACATATATATATATATATATATATATATATATATATATATATATATATATATATATAATATTTATGCACACACACACACACACACACACACACACACACACATATATATATATATATATATATATATATATATATATATATATATATATATATATATATATATGCACACATATATCTACATATGTATACATATATGTACATATATATACATATATATCCATATATATATATACATATATGTATATGTATATATATATATATATATATATATATATATATATATATATATATATATTATATACATACATACATATATATACACATATATATATATATATATATATATATATATATATATATATATATATATATATACTACTCCTGGGTATGAGTATAAAGTGTATACGGTAGTGGAGTTCTGGTCCTGAGGGATATGGAGCCACCTCTTAGCCACTATCGCACTCAGGTCTACTTCGACTCAGAGTGGAGCACCTGCCAGCGTCCCATCTACGGGATAAATGGAAACAAGGCTCGAGTAGACTCTTTTGCCTTGGCTGGCAATCCTTCTAGAGACAGTTTCTCAATAAAAACACTGTCAGGTAAGGCAACAAGAAACCACCTGACTGGTATTTCTCAGAAAATGGCCCTCAGTCTCGTGGAAAAGACTGGGCAGGTTAAGTGAATAACAGATAGTAGAGGGTCGTGGAGAAAATGGATGCCAAAAAGAATCTGTCGTAGGAGAGAGCAACAGAAGAACTCACCCCCACACACATATATAAGTGTGTAATAAGCTACAATAAGAAGTAACACAACATCATAACGATTCGAATTCGTCCAGACTTCCTCATCAGATAGATAAATAGATAAATACATAAGTAAATAATCATATATATATATATATATATATATATATATATATATATATATATATATATATACATATATATATATGTATGTGCGTGTTTGTGTGTATGTGCAGAATTTATACAAAATCTAAGCAAAAAAATGATCTTATATAAATCATTTATATCTATTTGTCTTTATATGTATCTATATATGTGTGTGTATGTATACTCACGTGTGTGTGCGTGTGCATGTTCTGTGTGTATGTGTGTGTGTGTGTAGAATTTATACATAATCTAAACAAGAAAAATCTTATATAAAAACCTTTGAGCTGATGGACTGTGTTCGTATTAGTTATACAGTACTTCCTACATTACAATACACTTGATATTACTGTCAATATTAATAATATTTCTGCCTATTACAATATACCACTCAAAGATATTAGTTCGACATTATGTACAACTAATATTACATGCCATAATCATTTCCCTGTGTTGTCTCGTGTATTGCCGTGTATTTAGAATACAGTAGAACAATCATTGTATAAAATGAAAAACATTTGACAGTATCTATGGTACTGTTTTCTATCAGTAAAACTCGCATAAATAGGATAGTTGAAATAATGATCATAAACATTTATTTGACAGCATCCCATGTAGTACATTTAGTCGGTTGGTATGCCTTTTTCTCTATACGATGCTTGTCACGATAATTACAGTTAATTAACGTAACCGTATATAGATAAATATAATTCTCCTATATACAGAAGTATAAGCATTAGCGAATGAGAGGTGTGACTGCTGAATGAAAGATTAGGTGGTAGTTCTGCTTGTTCGGGTATGCAAATATTCCCGCTGCTGTTGGTTGTAGCAGGTGTCTTAGGCCTAAGGAGATCGCTCTTCACCACCGGCTGAAAAGGACGTGCTCTCGACTCTATTTTACCACTAATTCCTTGGAAAGACATCCAATTTAGAAGTTATAAACTGAATATAATTATTCTCATCTGATAATAAACTACATCGAAGTGCTAAACAGATAAAACCTGTAATGCGGAAGGTGAGTGAGTGGGGTGAATGTGTAGGGCATCATTGTGTGCTAAGTGAATAAATAAATAATAGGTGAAGTTATTCCGTGCATTTATGTTTCCACTTATTTTATCAGTGGCTCGCAGTTTCCTTTCTCAATAAACGAGGAAAAAACTAGAAGAAAGTGATATTACAGACCTTAAAATAATAAATTAATAAGTAAGTAGTATTGCAATCACACTTATCATATGGAAAGTAAAAACATATAATTCATAATTCATGAAACGAACGTTATTGCTCATGAAATAAAATATCACAAGGTAAAGAGTTAAGAATATATTCCTTATTAATGGAATACGCATTAAATAACTTATTCCTCGAGTAAGTGATGAATATATATAACTTCCATAACTAAATACTCGAAATATAAATAATTTATTGGGAGTAAAGTGTGACAATGCTGATAGATATATCTACGATATTTTTTGGTACACAGAGATATCATTTGTGACAACTTGGTTATTCAGTTTTCTTCTAATTTTCCGAGGGTGTTTCTTTATCAGCATTATCTTCCTCACTGATATGATTATAAAGAAAGTAGGAATCAAAATT